TCAGGAATTGTTGCTTGGTGGGAAGGCTACTTGAGACAAGAAATACAACAAGGAAAGAAATACCATATGCTTTGTGTAGTTTTCCTCTAAATCATTATGTAACTCAGTTTTAAAAATGGCTTCTGCTGCTGATTGTAGAAGAAACTTTAATAACAAGCAAATTCTCACTGGCTCAAGAGCACTAACTATAGATTATATATTTGAAATATCTTTTACTTGAAAATAGTGTAACTGATCCTAATGGGAAAAAAATTCCAACCATTTAACTACTGCCAGAATAATTTCACTGCCTGCCAAAGAATACCTCCAGGAGTGAAACCAGCAGGTTTCCAGCAGGGAACAAATGATTAGAAAAACATTCATATAGGCTATGTCTACACAGCAGTGTTATGTCTGAATAAACGATGTTATTCCAAAATAACACAGTCCATAGCTACACTACAAGCAGTTATTTCGACATAATATCCAAATAATGTCAAGCTGGAAGACTTCTTATTCTGACTTCCGTAACCCTCATTGTACGAGGAGTAAGGGAAGTCAGAGGAAGAATGCTCTAATTAGGACTTCCTGCTGTGTAGACAGTGCCCCACAATTGATGTAGCTCAAGTTGCGTAGCTTATTTTGACTTTAGCCCTGCTGGGTAGACATGCCCATAATGAGTAAGGTCTGACCACATTATAGATCAACCTACATACCTACCTACCTACCTACCATCTATTCTCTGAGCTCATCACTATCATATCTGAGCATTTTTACACTCTTGTGACCTGCATATCTTCAGTTCTAACATGTAAAAGACCTGAATGACAACAGCAAGAGAGTTTTTGCAATTAGCCCCTTCCTACAAATGGGGTCTGCTTATGAATTAATGGGAAAGTTTGGCTGAACTAGACAAAGAAATCAATCTGGTCCATATGAGCTGTTGCCTTCTCTCCCTGTACTAAAAGAGAGAATGATTATGTATTGGGAATATATAGGGTAGGTCTACACAACTAGGAGAGACAGTTCTCACCACAGAAAGCTATACGTGCGCTAGCTCTGCTCAAGCTAGCATGCACTAAAAATAGCAGTGTGCCTGCAGTGTCATGGGAGTGGTGTGACCTAGTCACTTGGGCACAATCCCAACCAACCCCTGGTTCTGGGTACATAAGAACGGTCGTACTGGGTCAGACCAAAGGTCCATCTAGCCCAGTATCTTGTGTGATCCCTCTCCTGTCACTCATTTACAGACAAACAGAGGCTAGGGATACCATTCCTACCCAGCCTCGCTAATAGTCATTGATGGACCTAACCTCCATGAATCTATCTGATTCTTTTTTGAACCCTGTTAAAGTCCTAGCCTTCACTACATCCTCTGGCAAGGAGTTCCACAGGTTGACTATGCGCTGAGTGAAAAAAACTTCCTTTTGTTTGTTTTGAACCTGGTGCCTATTAATTTCATTTGGTGACCTCTAGTTTTTATACTGTGGGAATAAGTAAATAACTTTTCCTTATTTACTTTTTCCACACCAGTCATGATTTTATACACCTCTGTCATATTCACACACCTCCCAGTCTCCTCTTTTCTAAGCTGAAAAGTCCAAGTCTTTTTAATCTCTCTTCATATGGGACCTGTTCCAAACCCCTGATCATTTTTGTTGCCCTTTTCTGAATCTTTTCCAATGCCAGGATATCTTTCTTGAGATGAGGCTGTCACATCTGTACATAGTATTCAAGATGTGGGCGTACCATGTGGGCATACATAAATGGATAACTAGCAAAAGCTGCCTCCTGTAGTGCCGAGGCCACATTACTGTTTAGCACACCAGCTCCTGCAGAACTAGCACATGTACATCTACCCAAGCTGGGAATCACACTTCCCAGCTGCTGTGTAGACATGATGTGGGAGGAAAGAGACATAGGAAGATTAAAAAACAAATCAAAAGGGGGAGGGGGTAAATCAATGGTAGCATGGAAGGAAAGAGAAGGAAAAAACATAGTTAACAATGATAAGCCTCACGCCAAAAGCTAAACTTGAATTCCACCACTGAATCGACACATCATCCATCTGTGATGGGAGACAAACCCTCTCTAGGTACACTTAGATGCTCCTCCTCAGAGAGATTTGAAATCTGGATTGAAACCAGAACATTCCCGAATTTCAGAATGTTTTGGTTTGATTTTTTTTAAACTCCGTCTATTCTGAAGAAAGCGTTGAGCTGCAATCCTGGATAAAGATCTGGGTCTAAGATTGCAGGGGCTTGTTGAGGTCCATTCTGTAGAAGTGAAAGAACTAAATACACTCTCCTATCCTTTTCATGTAATCTTGCCAACAAACACCTATATTTGGGGTCATTATTCAGTGGCTGAATTTGTGAAGTTGGCCTGAAAAATAGCATGAGCAAAACCAGAATTCCCTGATCTTACTAATTTAAGGCCCTATTCTTGCTCCCAGTAAAGTGGGAATTTTACCACTGATTTAATGGTAGCGGAAGCAAGTCTACATCTTAGGTGGCAATCCAGTCACAGAGGGTCTATTCTGAAATAGTTTGGTGTTCTGATCAGCTGTCCAGAGAACCTTTCGTGTTCACTACTGAATTTCATTTCACTTTCATACACTGAAATTGCATTCCCTTCTGTTTAGGCCCACCATCATGGCATCCAAATGCCATACAAGCTTTAATTAAAAAAATAGCTTATAAATCTCCATTGTTACTCTGCCTCTGCCCACATAAGGAATTTATGTATGTATTGTGGGAAAGCTAAGATTCCTAGGTTCTTTTTATTATTGTGCCATTGATTCATTTTGTGAGTTTGAATAAGTCAAGTAATATCTCTGTACCTCAATCTCCTCATTGGAAAATAGGCATAATAATAGTTTGAGGCTCAGTTAACTAATGTTTTCAAAAAATTTCAAAATCATGGGATGACAGGTACTGTGTAAGCACAAATGGTAATTATTATTTCCTTTATTAAGATACTTCTTTACGGTTTCTATGTTCTGTCTTTTTTGGTAGCTGGCCTAGCTCTCTTCCTCCTGTGTATCTCTTTTCAAGAACATATCCAATCATTTATGCTCCTGGAAAAGGGCATCAATTTCCCAAAACAGCACTAATTAAATATAATAAATATGTAATAGGGAGCTTAAGCACATATGGAAACTAATATGTATTTCAAAGATAGTCTAGAATCCTGATCTGAGACACACATACACCAAACATGGGGCAGTGGAGCTCAAAATGGCACCCTCAATCCGAAAACACCTAAGCTTGTTTCAACTAGACCTTGATCCAAACACTCATCCTCAGTCCCATGTCTTATTTGAAGTCAGACAGGTGGTTCAATACTCAGAGTCAAATAAAAATGAAGTTTTCAGTCCATTCATTCACTCTATGCATTTCAATAGAGCCTTGAGTCCCTAGCCAAGGATGGAGACTGGCACCCTTTGTGCTAAATACTTACAAAGACGTAGTGAGGAGCAGTCCTTGTTCTGAGGAGCTTACAGATTAAACAGATGAGACAGCAATGGGTAGGAGACAGGAAATATTATCATCCCTGTTTTACAGATGAGGAACTGCAACATATATAAATTAAGTGACTTGACCAAGGTGACACAGGAAGCCTATGGCAGAGACAAGTTAAATCCAAGTATCTTGAAATCCAGCTTAGTTCTTAATCAAAAAAATATCATCACTTTTCCAGTAGATGGCATTTCAGTCTGCCAGGTTCCACTGCCATCTTCCGGTTTGGCTGAAAAATATGAGAGTCAAACAGGAGTAGTGATTGGTTTGTATTTTTCAGACACACAGGAGGAGAATGAAATCATTTGTGCTTGCTTTTTTCATACTTAGACACAAATAAATGAAACCAGAATCTAGGATGGGATCCTTATACCTGCTCCAGCTCTATATACAGGCTAGACGGACTAGGGCAGCACAAAAGGACTGGCTGGGGAAGGTTCCCTTGGTGTAGGAACTACAGACAATATCCATTACGTTCATTCAAAGGACCTCCTTGCAAGCCTTGACATGGGGATTACACCGAGGCTGGGTGCGGATCAACAGCAAGTACAAAATATGCAGAACCAAGGAGATTCTGGAGACAGGTGACATCAGTGAGAGAGCCTCTCCCCCCCCACACAACTGTCTAAATGATGTTAAGGGCTACAAAGCAGCTATAATCAGGAGGGTGCAGAAGTAGCTTAAAGCCACCTCAGCTGCCCTCCCTTCCCTTAGGTCAGACGTTCTATGCTGTGACCAAGATGCAGCACAGAATCTTACTGCTGGAGCTTTACCCTTTTGGCCATGGCGCTTAAAGAATAAAATGTAGCCATGTGCAGCTAATGTAATCAGGTCAGTGACTCCTGTTGTAATGGTTTATATGTGAGTAATTCTGGTCCATAAAAAGTCATGTTATTACTTTGTCTTATTTCCTGCCATGTGGTGTGGCTGTTGCATCTGATTGTTCCTCTTCTTGTTTAAAGTATCACAGCGACAGCTGCCAGCATAGGTGCGGCAGGGATCCCACAAGCTGGCCTTGTGACTATGGTCATTGTTCTGACTTCAGTTGGGCTGCCTACAGATGACATCACTTTAATTATTGCAGTTGACTGGGCACTGTAAGTAACTTAGTGTCTGAACCTTCCTTCCATCTGCAAATCAAGTTGTTTTTCTGTACTCTGCATATCAATCCATTGATGCTTTACAGGGCTTTACAGCTGTCACTTTTTGCTGCATACCATAATCACTGGGAACTTCACAGAGTCAGCAGGGGCGGAATTTGGAAAAGCACCCAAGCTAAAGGAGACTCTTCATTTGCAGTAGAGAGTCTATGGCCAGAGCTAACTGAATTAATAACAAATAATTTATTTTGACTGTCATCTCTTTGTGAATTGTCCATGAATAGATTTCAACTTTCATATCCCTTCATTATTCAAAACTGTTTAAGCCTTTGATATCTAGTTATGAGCAGTTCAGTTCTCAGCTCTGATCATGCACAAGCCAGGTCTACAGAGTGTTCAGTATTTTTTCAATTAACTCAGCTGTTCATGTTCAGACATGATAACACTCTGCAGTGTAAATGAGGCCATAGTCGAGCAATTCTGATTATGTCCAGTAGATATAACAATAGCAGGGTTTCTTTCCTTCTAAGTAAATCCTACAATTTAACATTTCTTTAGCATTCTTCTTAATACAATAAAGAGCCATTGCACAAGATGGTACAAAACTGCAACTACAAGTTCATTGTATTTTATTTAAGCCACGGAATGTACCTTATGAATAAACTTAAAAAACAACAAATGGTCTGGTAGCACTTTAAAGACTAACAAAGCATGCAGATGGTATCATGAGCTTTCGTGGGCACAGCCCAGTTCTTCAGATGACCCAGCACTCCGGTCATCTGAAGAAGTGGGCTGTGCCCACGAAAGCTCATGATACCATCTACATGTTTTGTTAGTCTATAAAGTGCTACCAGACCATTTGTTGTTTTTTAAGTTATCCTGTACAGACTAACTTGGCTACGCCTCTGTACCTTATGAAGTACTTGTGCCCCATTTTTGTTTTTGTATGAGGCTTACACAGCCTGAAGATTTAGTATTTTTTAAAGGTTTTTTTTTTTTTTTTTTTTTTTTACTTTGAAAAATATCAGGAATGCTAAGTCTGGCCTTTCTTGATTTTGCTGGAGAAAACAAAGTTCACAAAAACAAGGTGTTTAAACACTCTGACTAAAAAACTCTTCCTCTCTCAGTGGCTCAGCTCTGACTCACTATTTATAAAGTCACTATTTCTCTAGTCATCAGAGTTGTATTTCTAGATGTATCTATCCCTCTTAACCTTACCTTACTGCTTTTGACTCTGATTGGATGAAGAGCTTCACAAGTCAAAGTAAAATGCAAAAACATAGGTGCTGATACAGTCTTACAAGGTTGGGTTTTTTTAAATTAAAGATCTGACTCTTGGAAAGACACGCTGGATTATTAGCTTTGCGCTGTGCCAAGAGCAGTGGTTCTCAAAGTGTGGTTCATGGACCGTCTTGAAGGTAGTCCGTGGGCTTGGGGCTCATCCCCCTCCTGCAGCAAGGAGACTGCTCTGGTGCTCCAGTCCTGTGGCCCTCCTCTGTGGGGTTGGAGCACCAGCACTGGCTTCCTGCTGCAGAATCACGACCAATTGGAGCAGCAGGGGGTAGTGCCTGGGAGCATCAGGAGGCATGAAGCCAGGTACCGTATTTTAGTGAATATAACCCGCAGGTTATATTCGTTTTTACAAACCCTGCACCCCCTGCGGGGTATACTCGGGTGCGGGATATACACAATTTTTTTTACTCGCCTGGCCTTCAGCCTTCGGGCGGGGGAGCACTCATCTCCTGATTCCTGCACAGGGGCGCTCCCCCCGCCCCTTCCTGCGGCTGCGCAGGAACCGGGAGATGAGCGCTCCCCTGCCCGGAGGCTAGATGCTGCACAGCCGCAGGAAGCGGCAGAGGAGCGCTCATCTACCAGTTCCTGTGCAGCCACAGGAAGGGGCAGGGGGAGCGCTCCTTCGGAGGAACTGGGGGACGAGTGCTTCCCCACCCAGAGGCTGGCGGCTGCGCAGACACAGGAAGCAGCGGGGGAGCGCTCTCATTTCCCCTCCTGGAGGTTGTGCAGCCGCGCGGGACCCAGGGGAATGAGTGCTCCCCCACCCAGAGGTTGTGCGGCAACCAGGCGGGGTGAGCATTCCCCCATCTGGAGGGTGGCTAATTCCCCCCCACGACCTGTAGAAGCTCCCTCCTCCCCCGCACAGTTTGAAAAAAAGTCTTGTATACCCTGCAGGTTATACTCATGCGTGGGGTATACAAGATTTTTTTTACTCAAACTGCAAAAACTGCGGGATATATTCGGGTGCGGGGTATATTCACTGAAATACGGCAAGTGCCTCCATGCCCAGACCCCATACCTCTATCCCGCTCACTCACACCCCTCCCGCAGAGACCCCACAGCCCACCTACACCCACCCTCAGCCCATTTCTGTACCCATTTTGTCATGACGGGTGGTTGGCTAATGGTCCGTGGAAAGGTTTGCGTTGAGAGATGTGGACTGCAGGCCAAAAAGTTTGAGAACCACTGATCTAGGTCCAGATTTTCAAGTGTGGTACACATGCAATTTTCATGTATAGTTACTGTAATTGTATATGTAATTTGGATAACTGGATGCAGGTGTATTTAATTAGGCATGCAACTACAGTTGCAAATTAGGCTTGCAAGTTAAGCATGCATAAAACTGTGCTTAACGTATATGAAAAGTCTGGCCCATAAAATCACTGTGTTCTGTATGCTTTGAAATCTGAGGCAGTTGATATTGGACTTTCATTCACTTTTATAAGCCAAATGTCTGGATGTTTCTGAATCTCAGTTTTATGATCTAGATTTATAAATTAAGTTACCAGTATGATAAAGATTTCAATATACTTCACATTTAAAAGGATACTGTTAGTCTGAAATATATGCAGTGTAGCTGTAGTCATGTTGGTCCCAGGATATGAGAGACAAAAATCATAGAATCATAGAATAATAGGACTGGAAGGGACCTTGAGAGGTCATCGAGTCCAGCCCCCCACCTTCAAGGCAGGACCAAGCTCCGTCTACACCATCCCTGACAGATGTCTATCTAGCCTGTTCTTAAATATCTCCAGAGAGGGAGATTCCACCACCTCCCTTGGCAATTTATTCCAATATTTGACCACCCTGACAGTTAGGAATTTTTTCCTAATGTCCAATCTAAACCTCCCTTGCTGCACTTTAAGCCCATTACTCCTTGTCCTGTCCTCAGAAACCAAGAGGAACAAATTTTCTCCTTCCTCCTTGTGACACCCTTTTAGATATTTGAAAACCGCTATCATGTCCCCCCCTTAATCTTCTTTTTTCCAAACTAAACAAGCCCAGTTCACGAAGCCTGGCTTCATAGGTCATGTTCTCTAAACCTTTAATCATTCTTGTCTCTCTTCTCTGTACCCTTTCCAATTTCTCCACATCTTTCTTGAAATGTGGCGCCCAGAACTGGACACAGTACTCCAGCTGAGGCCTAACTAGTGCAGAGTAGAGCGGCAGAATGACTTCACGAGTTTTGCTTACAACACACCTGTTGATACAACCTAGAATCATATTTGCTTTTTTTGCAACAGCATCACACTGTTGACTCATATGGGAGAAGTCTCTGTGGAATGTATCCAGTGTTTCCTGGCCATGGGTCCAGATCATAAAGATGTCATCGCCAAGAAACACTGGATACATTCCACAGAGACTTTAGCAACTTACACCCCACCATCAATCTCAGCCTGGACCACTCTACACGAGAGATCCAGTTCCTGGACACCACAGTACAAATCACCAATGGCAAATTAGACACCACTCTCTACAGAAAACCCACTCCTACAGTTACCTACATGCCTCCAGCTCCCATCCAGAACACAGCATACGATCCATCATCTATAGCCAAGCCCTTACATACAATCGCATCTGCTCTAATCCCACTGACAGAGACCAGAAACTTCAGGATCTGTACCAAGCATTTATAAACCTCAATTTCCACCCAGAGAAATAAAAAAACAAATTGAAAGAGCCAAACGAATACCCAGAAACCATCTACTTCAAGACAGACCCAGGAAAACCAACAATAGAACACCACTTGTCATCACCTATAGCCCCCAACTTAAACCTGTCCAATGCATTATCAATAAACTACAACCTATACTGGAACAGGATACTACACTCTGAGAGGCTCTGGGAGACAGACCCATAGTCTCCTATAGACAACCACCTAACCTCAAGATGATTCTTACCAACAATCACAGGACACATCACACTAATACCAACCCTGTAATTTTCCCTTGCAACATACCCCGGTGCTAGCTTTATCCACATATTTACTCTGCTGACACCATTATTGGACCTAACCATGCCAGTTACAAGATCAAGAACACATATTCCTGTTATATCAAGAACACATATTCCAGAAATATAATTTATGCCATCATGTGCCTAAAGTGTCCATCTGCTATGTACATTGGACAAACGTCTCAGATACTTAGCCAAAGAATCAATGCACACAAAACAGACATAAGACTCTCTCACAGAGAGAAAGTTGTTGCCTGCCATTTCAGCCAGACTGATCATTCACTTAATGACCTTAAAACACGCATATTGCTTCAAAGAGACTTTAACTCCAGACTTCAAGGAGAAGCTTCAGAATTGTCATTCATGCTTAAGTTTGACACTTTATGTATGGGTTTAAACAAAGACTCTAATTATCTCACCCATTACAAAGATAGCTTCCCCAATTATCACCCCTAATTACCTCACAGAAACTTACCTTCCCCCCTCACCTCCACTCTGTTCTAAAATTTGATTTGTCAATTTCACATGCGTTCACTTTTTTTGATTGTATCACTTTGGTATATATGGTTGTGCTGATTTTCTTCCACATATTGATCTGAGGAAATGGGTCTGGCCTACGAAAGCTCATCACCTAATAAACCATCTTGTTAGTCTTTAAAGTGCTACATAGTCCTGTTTTTTGTTTCAGGGGGAAACAGACTGTTTAACTGACTAAACAGGGAGAACACTGAAATTGGTCCCAGGATATGAGTATAGTGAACTCTACTATACACAAGATGTTGTCAATTGCACAAAGTCAAACTGAAAATATTCTCTTTTGTTTCTTTCAGTTGTAGTCTTAAGTGTTACTTGTAACAAGAGCAGGGAAGGTGTTTTCAGAAAGGAGTGTGAGATAAGTCAACCCCTTCTTTTTAATTTGGTATTTCCAGAAAAGCATTGTTATTTGGGTAGGTTGTTCTGGAAGACATAAAGAGACAGACTGCAGACTACTACACACAGTGATCTCCTTATCCAGCATTCTGGTTGCTATGATTCTTCATTTATCAAGGGTCTACCAGATATTGATTGTCCTCAACTCTCTTGAATTGAGGAACTTGACATTTTTCAGGATAAGTCCCCCAAAACAGACTATATTCTGAGTTTGTAATGTCTAAATATTCAAATACAATACTATGAATAGATGCAAATAGTTCACAGGTTATGGAGAAAGCAGCATTGCTTATACTTGAGTTGATTTGTCTAAATATTTTAAAGTGTTTAATCAGTTTGTACCTGTTGCAGGTATAACTATTTCCAAGACAGAGCACCTGTCACTTAACACCACTGTTTTGTTTGTCAGAGACAGATTTAGAACAATGATCAACGTCTTAGGAGATGCTCTAGCTGCTGGAATCATGGCTCATGTCTGCAGAAAAGAGTTCACCAAGGATGGTGATGAGGTAAGAACAAGACAAAATGAGTCAGTATGGAGTGATGAACCCCTTGTCACGATAAAATATTTTAAACATCAACTTCTCACATTCATCTATTCTGGATTAGCTGTAATGTGAATAGAAAGAACAAAATTAGTTATGGATGAAAATTCAAAAGTAGATAACATTTGTGGCACTAGTGAAAAGGATTTACCCTCCTTGTAGGAAAATAAAGAACATACATTATGGAGTTTAAACAATTGATAACTAACTGCCTTTTAATGAGAGATGATATTTTAAGCTTTGGGGGTGGGAAAAGTCCATGTGCCACATGTAGGACCCTCAAAAATACATATACAAAAATTAAATGAGGTCTGGGTGTAACTAGAATTCTACAAAATCAATTTTTTCATTACATTTTATCCATGAAATTTCTCTTTTCATATCGGGTGAGTTCACAACTCATGTTCTGCATTCTTGTGAAGGTCAGGGACAGTGCTTTTTAAAAATATCAGATCATGTAAAAAGCCAGTCATGCGGAAAAAGCCATGCTTGTGAAATAATGAGCAGAAGCAGGATGGCAATCATCTTTGAAAGTGTGCAGGAAGACTGTGTTCATGATCACAGTGAATATTGTAACAGCGCAAAACACCCACTCCTAAAAGCATCTTCCTCCACCACTGTGAAAATGTCACTCTCCTCCAAAGTACCTCCACTAGTGTCTTCTGTATCACACAGAGCAGAAGCCCTGCTTACATCTCTGCTTTTCTTTCCTCTTGCTTCTTCTCATTTTTCCTGTATTCCACACCTTGCTTCTTTCTCCCGTTCTTCTCTTGGGGTATGTCTAGACTACATGCCTTTTTTGACAGAGGCTTTTTTGAAAGTATCTTTCGAAAAAGCCTCTGTCGAAAAAGAGCATCTAGATTGCATTATGTGGATCGAAAAATCCACTGCCGGACGCTCTTTTGAAAAAAAAAGGCACCTGGAAGTGCTTTTGGCAGGGCATGGGGACAGGAGCTGCTGCCTACCCTTTGCAGAGACGTGTGCATAAAGGGATCCCCCTGGACAGCCGTTGCTCTGCTCCTGCTTCTGGCTTGCCTACCTCCTAGAGGGAAAGCAAAGCTGCCTCAGTGCTTGCTCTGGTTGCCCTGGTTTCTCGGACACCACAGCCGTTTATTTTCAGGGTTTTTTTCTGCTTTTCACTGTGTTTTTGGCCATGGAGCCTGAGCTGTCCCTGGGCAGGCGATGGCCCCGCACTGTGATGATGGAAGTTCTGCTGCATCTTCATGAGACCATCACCATGTTTGAGGCAGAGCTGGATTCAGAGCCCAGCTTTGAGCCCCTCACTCGGGCTGCAGCCCCCACTGCCTTGCCCCCGAACTTATTCATGCAGAGGCGAGTTTGGAGGCTGGACACCAGTTCAGACTGGTGGGACCGGCTTGTTATGGAGCAGTGGGACGAGGCTTGGCTCCGAAACTTCCATATGTGGAAGTCCACCTTCCAGGAGCTGTGTGCCTGGCTCGCCCCTGCCTTACCGTGCCAGGACACCCACTTGCAGCCTGCCATCCCCCTGGAGAAGCGGGTCGCTATTGCCCTCTGGAAGCTGGGCTCCCTGATAGCTACCGCTCCGTGGGACACCAGTTTGGCCTGGGGAGGTCAACTGTTGGGGCCTTGATGGAGGTAAGTCACTCTCTGAGGACAGTCCATGGGGGGGGGCAGATAAGGGGTATGGTCAGGATCGGGCAGAGGGAATGGGGGATGCGGGTGGCAGTGGAAGAAGTCCTCCTGGCCTTACCCAGCCATGGTGTGTGTGTGGGAGGGTGGCGGGTTGCCTGAGGGGGGGAAGCTCTTGGGGTCTGGGAAGGGAGGGGGTGGGGAAACACCTCATCAGCTCACACAACTCCTCTAATGTCCTATTACATGTGTTTCTATTTGTCCCTTTCAGCTGTTGGTGACGGCCATCCATTCAGAGCTGTTTCAAAGGACTGTCTGCCTTGGAGACCTGGATACCATCATGGCCAGATTTGCAGGGCTAGGATTTCCCAACTGCGGTGGAGCACTCGACAGGACACACATCCCTATCCGTGCATCACCCCATTGAGCAGCCCAGTATATTAACAGAAAGGGCTAGTGTTCTATGGTGCTGCAGGCCCTGGTCAACCACCCAGGACAATTCACAGACATTTGTGTCGGGTGGTCAGGCCGGGCACACAATGCCCGCATCTTCTGGAACTCATACCTGTACCGCAGGCTGGGACATTGTTTCCGGAGTGCAACTTTGCAGTCGGGGGTGTACAGCTGCCTATGTGCATCATGGCCGGCGCAGCGTACCCCCTTATGCCCTGGCTCATGAAGCCGTTCACGGGACTCCTGGATGCGAGCAGGGAACTGTTTAACTCCAGCCTGAATCGGGCTCGCTTCCAGGTAGAGTGTGCCTTTGGCCGTCTGAAGGGCAGATTTAGATGCCTGCTCACTCGGCTGGACATGGGGGAATGTGGCAGCCCCGAAGTGGTTGCTGCCTGTTGTGTGCTGCACAACCTGGTGGAGAGGAAAGGGGAGGCCTTCCTCCCAGGGTGGGAGACACGGGCTGATGTGGAGGGGAGGCAGTTTGAGCAATTGCCATCCGCCAAGCCCACCAGTTGGGATTGCGCATTCGGGAAGCTCTGAGGGAGAGATTCTCCCAAGGAGCCCACTGAGTTTCCCCAGGGCCTTCCAAATGTGGGTTTGCCCCATACCCCCAGTGCCTTCCCCCCAAAAACCCCTCCCTGCCCCACGTTGTACACATTCACAGAAAACAGAGGCGGGTGTTCTTGACGGAATAGGTGTACAGTTTATTGCACTGTTGATTGTTCCAAAACCTATACAACTGTTTTGTAAATAAAAATAAACTTTTGGTTAACAAAATAAAGTGCTTCCCTTACTGACTCTCACAGGTGGGAAGGGGGATGTAAACCTGGAAGGGAGGCTTAGGGCTGAGGGTGCTGCCGGGATGAAGAGCCCCTGCCACCTTGGCTGCGGGGATGTGCTCGGAGACGACCATGCATGTGGGCTGGGACAGTAGGGGGCTGGGCAGGAGGTGGGGCCACACCTGGGTCTGGGATGGCAGGTGACGAGGGTGGGGGCAGGCTGAGCAGGAGGAGCAGGAACAGGCACAGGACCAGGGAAGGCCATCGCCTCCCGGATAGCAGTGCAAATTGTAGTGCGCTGCTGGACAAACTCGTCCAGCAAGCGACTGCACCACTGCCTGCATCTTCTGTGTAAATATGTCCTGCATCCCTTGCAGGACCGAGCTGTGCTGGCGCACCACGTGCAAATACGTGCGCCAGTGCCAACGAGTTCCCTGCAGCCAGCTGGGTAGTGAGACAGGTGTGGCGCTCTCCTCCTGGACAGCTGGTGCCTCGCACCCATGCGGGTGCTGGGCTAGGATGGCCCTCCCTGTGCTCGGCCATGTGTAGGGCCCCCCCAGGCTGTGATCAGCATGACACATCACAGTCTGCATCATCCACGTTGCTCCCCCTCCCCTGCCCTGTGTGTGTTGGACCCTCACAGCACTCACCTGATGTTCCCTCCCCGGTGTCCCAAGTTGTCTGGGAGGCCTCCTGCATCTGGGTGTCCGTCTCCAGGGTGCGGGTCACTGAGCTCCTGGTGTCCTCCTCCTCCTGAGCTGCTGGTCCTTTGGGGTGTCATCCCGGAGCTGCAGCCGCTGCTGCACAGGGGTCTCCATCCCAGACTCCACAGGGGTTCCCCTGCCCCCAGGATCCGGTCCAGGTCGTCATAATGGGCACAATAGTGTGCTGCTTCCCCAGAGCGGGAGCTGCGCTCAAGGGCCCTAACATACCCCTGCTGCAGCTCCTTCATCTTTGCTCTGACCTGGTCTAGTGTGCGAGGGGGGAGGGGGAGGATTCTGGCATAAATGTCCGCATTCCTCCTCCTGGACTGCGGGGCCTGAAGAGACTCCTCCTCAGACCAGAGCTCCAAGAGGGCTCTGAGCTCGGGCCCAGACCAGGAGGGTGCCCGGCGTTTGGTGTCCCTGGAAGGGCCGGGGGGCTTGTCCCTGGGACATGGCTCTGAGTGGCCCTACCAGGAAGAGCTGAGCAGTCAGGGTCCTGGTTGGAGCTGCCTTGCTGCCACAATGCTACTCCTGGGTGCCTGTGCCTTTAAATCAGTGGTCCCCAACACGGTGCCCGCGCCTTCCCTGCGTCGACGCATACCTTTTTCCAGCAGATCTCTGTCGAAAATAGCGTTATTCCTCGTAAAACGAGGTTTATCGTCGTCGACAAAACCGCCACGTTCTTTCGATTTACTGTCGACAGAACGCAGTGGTAGTGTAAACACGGGTGAAGTTTTTTTTTAAAAAAAAAAGCCGACTTTTGTCGAAAAAACGGTGTAGTCTAGACACACCCTTGATGTTTTCTTCCATGCCTCTCTTTATACATCAAACTCCCACTACTGGTGCAAAAGGTTACCTCTTTTGATTCGTATTTCTTTCTAAAACTTGTTTCTTCCACCACCCCTACTGCTGCTGGTCCACCTAAGTATTAGTCCCCAATCACTTCTGTTAATTGGAGTCCCCCAATAAACTTCCTCTGCTCCGCCAAGATACCCTCTAACTGAGTGGTTCTCTCTCACTCTCCCTGAGTTAGGAGCTTCAGGGGGTAGCTGAGTTTGTCTGTTACAGAAAAAAGTCTATCCACTGACTTTGATCTTTATCAACTCAGGTTTAGCACCCTTTCTCCTGATACTTTATGCATAGAGGTAGGGGGGTGGGCGACAGAATATCTCCTATCTCCCCCCCCCCCCTTCCCTTCTCCTATTTATTTTGAGTTTCCTTATCCTCTAATCATAACTCCGGTCATCTGAAGAAGTGGGCTGTACCCACGAAAGCTCATGATACCATCTACATGTTTTGTTAATCTATAAAGTGCTACCAGACCCTGAGTTAGGAGTGTGTCGTTTTCTAGGTCTGCATAGCACTGAACTTGTGCAGAGCTTAACTAAATAACAATAATAAGAATAGGAAATTAAGTTCCCAATCTTTATGGTGAATCCAATTGTCACTACTTTATATGGTGTGCTCAGAACAGCCAAACTTTCATGTTTTGTTAGGCAGAGTCTGATCTTCAGGAGGTGCCGAGCACCTCTGCCAGCAGGGATGTAAAAAGTCTTGTAAAAATGTAACTGTGTAACTGCTAAAAATCCTAGCGGTTACATGCACTGCAGGCTCTGCAGTGTCACTTTTAAAAGCTACACTGCAGAGAGATCAGCAAAGCCCCCCCTCTACTCCCTAGGAGCACAGCTGGCAGGAGCTGCTGGCCCTGCTCCCAACGAGGCTTCACTGCAGCATAAAAGTTATTAAAAAAGTTAACTTTTACACGGCAGAGCCCACGGCAAAGCCAACTCCCCAGAAGCGGGTGTGTAACCATAATGGAAACTGTTTAAACAGCTACACTTTTACATCCCTACCTCCCGCTGATCACAGGATGGAGCCCTTAGAATCCTGACTAAACTAGAAGCTTTTTTAAAGCATACAGGCCAACAGAAAAATATTTAATCTATCGTAAGGTCAGAAATGAACACTGTGATTATCTAGTCTGACTGTCTGCATAATACAGGCCTCCTGACATTTTATTACTGTATTTTAAACTATTATTTTCCTGTGGGGGAAGATTCTTAACTCTGTCCTGGAGCATAGTGTTTCATTCAAAAATACAACCCAACTCCCTAAAGGATTGTAAACTTGTTTGCAGGAAGATTTATTTTCTACTTGGCACTCAATAGCCACCTTAAAACATACCATTAATCGTCTTTATGTTTTGGCTGCACATTTAGTATAGTTAGTCATATATACCTAAAGGGTCGATTGACTCAGCTACAAGCCCACCTCTTTCCTCTGCCAGTATTTGCATATTGTTCCCCCCCCCCATCAGACCTTCTTGGTTTCTATTTTAAGGATATTTCAACACATTACTTGTGAAATCAAATCAAAATCCTCTTTTGCTTTGTAACACACAGAGGCAAACACGTCTGTTAGCTCAGAAGTTTAGACTAGATGGTAGGTTGGTGGTGAGGAGATGTCAAAGTGTAGATAGATCTATTCAGTCTAGTTACTTTGTTCAGTCTGATGACTTGGCTCAGCAATATCCTCTACACCAGGGGTGTGTCTAGACTACATGCCTCCGTCGACGGAGGCATGTAGTCTAGACACACCCCTGGTGTAGAGGATATTGCTGAGCCAAGTCATCAGACTGAACAAAGTAACTAGACTGAATAGATCTATCTACACTTTGACATCTCCTCACCACCAACCTACCATCTAGTCTAAACTTCTGAGCTAACAGACGTGTTTGCCTCTGTGTGTTACAAAGCAAAAGAGGATTTTGATTTGATTTCACAAGTAATGTGTTGAAATATCCTTAAAATAGAAACCAAGAAGGTCTGATGGGGGGGGGGGAACAATATTAAAATACTGGCAGAGGAAAGAGGTGGGCTTGTAGCTGAGTCAATCGACCCTTTAGGTATATATGACTAACTATACTAAATGTGCAGCCAAAACATAAAGACGATTAATGGTATGTTTTAAGGTGGCTATTGAGTGCCAAGTAGAAAATAAATCTTCCTGCAAACAAGTTTACAATCCTTTAGGGAGTTGGGTTGTATTTTTGAATGAAACACTATGCTCCAGGACAGAGTTAAGAATCTTCCCCCCCGCCCGTGCTCACTCCATCCTCCCTCACTTTCACCAGGCAGGGGCAGCGGGTTGGGGTGCAGGCTCTGATTTTGGATTAAGGGATTTGTAGTGCAAGAGGGGCTCTGAGCTGAGACTGGGGCGGGCAGTTGGGGTGTCAGAGGGGGTTCTAGGTCCAGGCTCTGGGAAGGTGTTTGGATGGAGGGGTGCTTGGAGCTGGAGCAGGGGCTTAGGGTGCAGGATGGGGTTCATGACTGGGGTATTGTTTTGGGATGTGGGCACCAGCTGGGCCCTGCTTACCTCAGGTGGCTCCTGGGGGGTGGTGCAGTGGGGCTAAGGCAGTCTCACCTCTGCCCTGGACCTGCACCACTCTCAAAAGCAGCCAGTAAACTCCATCACAAATCCTGCTGTGTCCCCCACTCTGCTCTGTGGAGATAGGATACAAGGTGGAGGGGGGCACCTTGACATCAGTGCCCCTCCTCTCCCTCCCCTGCCCCGCACAGGAAGCAGAAACTCCTGGAGGACAGCTCCAAGACAAAGGACAGGAAATGAGCAACAGTCGGGGGCAGGAGGGAAGGGGGAGGAGCTGAAGTGCTGGTTTTTATAACCTCTTGGCCAAACCAGTTAGGATCACCTGTCAGAGGCTCCAAGATCAACTAGTAGATCAACCACTGATAGACCACTGATCTACACTACTTCAGAGAAAGAAAAAAACCTCATATCATCAGTAGCCAATAAAAGAGGAGCCCCATGATCATGCAGTATTGCACATGACTCCCTCTGGCCCAGAAGTATTAGAATTTGTAGCCCCTGTAACTCGGTTGTCTAACAGTGCAAGAGGGGGTTCCTACTCATCTCTTTAAAGTGTCTTACCAAATTATCCTTACTGTCAAATCCTATTACAATGAACACTGATTGCAGGTTGATAATCTGTTTCATAGGGTTTCCCTTTTTTCTTCCTTGCATTTGTTTTATGTTTAAGTTTCTTAGCAGTCTCTTGTTCATGCACAAAGGAATGGAGAGCCAGATTTAAAAAAATATTTAGATATCTAGAAATGCAGGTAGCACTTTTGAAAATCCCACTAGGCATCTTTAGGTGCCTAAATACCTTTAAAAATCAGTCCTAGGATGAATATAAATAGACACTTATTGATCCCATTTCTAAACAAGGGGACAAACACTGCCTGGAAGAATGGTTGAACTTCCAGTGATCAGACAGTTCTGCTGATGACTAAGGGCCAGATTTACAGAAGTGCCTAAAGGCGAAAAAAACAACAAATGGTCTGGTAGTACTTTATAGACTAACGAAACATATAGATGGTATCATGAGCTTTCGTGGGCACAGCCCACTTCTTCAGATATCCAGAAGTGGGCTGTGCCCATGAAAGCTCATGATACCATCTAACATGTTTCGTTAGTCTGTTATAGAAAAAAAACAACAAATGGTCTGGTAGCACTTTATAGACTAACTCGGCTACCCCCTGAAGCTCCTAAAAGTGAAGGTAGGCAACAAGAGGGATTGGGGGAAAGTACCTATACAAGTTAGGCACCTAACTCCCATTGACTTTCACTGAGAATTAGGTGTCCAGCCTGCATGGGCACTTTTTGCCAATCCCACAAGGTGCCTCTCTGGATCATTAGGGTGGGATCCATTACCTGTATTTCACTGTGATAACATGCAGCATCTTGCTGTTTCCCACACAGGTACCATTGATCTGTGAAACTAAACCCATCAGCATTCATCAAATCATGGCCTACCAGAGAAATGGCTGTGTGAAGAACATGAGTGAGTCTCATGGCCCAGAAACAGTGAAAGAGTTTCAGCACCATATACCTATACAAGTGGAGCAAGAACTAAACACAGCCGAGAACCACACAAAGAAATCAATCAGTAAAGACCACTGCACTATTGAAATCAATGAACTGGAAACAAATGTGTAATTGCTACCTATGATGGTATCTTATCAGATACCTAGTGGCTTGGTACCCAATCACTACCTCACAGCTGGAAGGAGGACTCTGTCTCGAATAGAAAAAAAATGTGGCATTATGGTCAGCATGCTTGTACTGGAGCTAGGAGACCAGCTGTGATCAGAAAAGACACAAGACTTGAAAGAGATAGAGGACTGTGTTGGGGGGATGATTTTAATACTCAGAAATTAACCAATGGACAACTTTGGTTCTCTCTGGGCAAACTGATTTGGTTACTGTATAGTATCCAACACTCTTTTGTTGCTTTTCTCATTTTAACCCCTTCTATTTCTGACAAAAGCCTTTTTTCGCATCTTACTGATTACAAACATGATATTTATATAGGTGTATTGCGACCAGAAACTGATTCACAAAGCATACTGAAAGTGTACTAATTTTGTCTTCATTTCTCCTCTTTAAGTGTAAACTCTTTGTTTAGTTTTAGAATAGCACTAAGAAATTTGCACTGATTTAAAGAGGCAATTTTTATAATTAATAATGCTACAAACTGAAAGCAAAACAAAATATTTATCTTTTCAGGAAAGACATATTCTATTATACACACTACAAAGACAGACATCAAACTGCAATGTATTGTACAAAGATGTCTAGATTCCTCCACAGGAAAATTTGCCTTTTAAGTGCCAGATTCACACAGAGTTTTTTTTAAATCTCTCTCTGTTGTAGAATTAGTACAATATACCTGCAGTGGCAGAACCTTGCAAGCCCACTGGTGCTAAAGAGTGTTCACTGTTCTCTCCTTTTGTTTATAGACTGTTCTAATGTGTATATGTGTGTAAACTCAGTGCTCAATGTTCTTGATGAATATGCTTCATTCCAAGGGCAGACTAAACGCAGACTGGAATCCAATGCAGATGAGTAATATTTGGGTTTTTGTAGGGAGTTTGCTGTGGAAACTGGCTTTTTATTTTTCATTATATTATGAGTTGGACTATACTGTTGTCTCTTTTTTCAGCCATCTACTGAATCGTCAGTTATAATAAAATCTGCTGGGTGTGTTAACAGTGTTTGCAATGAAGAACATTTTTAAATAAACCTGACATTGTGAAAATAGGCTATCTGTGCACTGCTAGAATGAATGTATTATTATTTCTCTATTCAAAGCGAGGGGCGAAGGATTGGTGGAAGCATATAAAACCAGGTAGGTACAAAGATCTCAAACTATAATATTTCCTGTCAAATACCTGGGTTTTTTTTAATTGTTATGCCTACCATATCAGTTCCTGAAAATCCATAGCTGGTGCTGTAAAATAATGCTGAACATTAAGGTGTCTTCCATGGGAAGATTCCAACTGAATGTAAGTAGTTTTTTCAGAGAGGGCAGTTTCTATAGCACTTGCCATTCTAGAGCATGCACATGGAGAGAGTGGGCAAGCAAGAGAATGGGGCCCTCCAATAATCGATGGAGGCACAGAACTCCACAAATAATTAGAGAGTAGTTGCAAATATTAGTTGTAAAAGCAAACAGTTCCTGGACAAGTCCTAAAATAGAACTGAATCACCCAAACTCATCAGAGAATGCTTATGCATAATGAATACATATGCAAAAATCAGGATCAAAATTGAGGAATGGTTCACCAAACTACCATCTTGCTTCGTGTGTAGTCATTTATATTAGGGGTTTTAAATATCGACTCATTGAGCAATCAAATAGTTGATGCATTTTGCATCTACTATTTGATTAGTTAATAGGGCTGTTGCTATACTTCAAAGGCAAAAGCGCCAGGCTCCCCGTGGGGTTTCAAAGCAGTAGCGCAGCACAGAGCCAGGGGCCAGTAGGGGGAGTCTCCAGCTGGTCCCGGGCAGCATGTGGCATTTCAAAGCGGCACCATGTTGAACCCAGAGTCTGGCTCCAGGCTCCAAGCGGCGCTGCTTTGAAGTACCTCCTTCTTCTCTCCTCCTTGCTGCCTCTTTCTGATAGAGGCAGCAAGGGGGGGGGGAAGGAATAAGAGACTAGTCAACTAGCCCTTCACATCCCTAATTTATATCTGTGCAAGTGGCTGTAAAATCTTATTGTTCTGAACTGGAAGCTTTTTACCCCTCGTTTGTACATGTGAAAATGCCTGCCAAAGGGGCAATCTGTGTTTGTACTGAATAGTTCAGTCATATGGTACTTACTTCTTGGATAAATCTGCCCACACACCTTGATTCCAAAGTGCACTGGACAGCCAGCTAAAAATGCCATCAGTGTCCCAATCAGCAAAGCTTCATGTTCGTTTTTGGCTAATCTACACAGTGTATTAGTGCATGAGACACCCTAGTATGCACTAGAATTTATACTCCAGTCCAGCTGGTTTGTACTAATTGGCCCTTGTGAATGTTGCCATTTCAAACTTCAAATTAAGTGCACTAGGGGACTTTTAGTGCACACCAGCAGGTTCCACGCAGAGTAGACTTTACAACCCCGGCTAGTATCCACTGACACACCACGTCGACAGATACTTAGTCAAATAGTAAGAGCTACAAAGGACTGCAAACCCCACTGGCAGCCTGAGTCTTCTTTCCTTATCAATCATCTAGGTATCTACAGGACACTGTTCACCATAATATGTAGATGTAGTCTCTTGCCTTGTCATGTAAGGATGGCTCTTGGACTAGGATGTCTAGACTGGCATGATTTTCTGCAAATGCTTTTAACGGAAAAGTTTTTCTGTTAAAAGCATTTGCGGAAAAGAGCATCTAGATTGGCATGGACGCTTTTCCACAAAATCACTTTTTGCGGAAAAGCATCCGTGCCAATCTAGACGCACTTTTGCGCAAAAAAGCCCCAATCGCCATTTTTGCGATTGGGGCTTTTTTGCGCAAAACAAATCTGTGCTGTCTACACTGGCCCTTTTGTGCAAAAGCTTTTGCCTGAACGGGAGCAGCATAGCATTTCTGCAAGAAGCACTGATTTCAGACAGTAGGAAGTCAGTGCTCTTGTGGAAATTCAAGCGGCCAGTGTAGATATCTGGCAAGTTTTTCCGCAAAAGCAGCTGCTTTTGCGGAAAAACTTGCCAGTCTAAACACAGCCAAGGGAAATCAAGGATGATCTGTGCACGCATTATCCCAGGGTCAGTTTAAGAAGTTGATAAAAATGGTCCATGTACTTAAACATACAATAGTAGACTTCTGCATAAGAAGATTTTTTTATTTTTTCATCCCCCGCCTATAATTTTTTCCTTCTTCCCCTGCCCTCCTCCTTCCCTTATTTATTTTTGGTTCTGGACATCCAACACTCCAGTCATCTGAAGAAGTGGTCTGTGCCCACGAAAGCTCATGATACATCTACATGGTTTGTTAGTCTTTAAAGTGCTACTAGACTATTTGTTGTTTTTTAAGTTTTTCCTGTTATGGACTAACTCGGCTACCCCTCTGAAGCTTTATTTATTTTGTTAGGAGTTTTATAAAAACTGTTAATCCATAAGCTGTGAGTTGCAGTGATGAAACTTCTTTCTCCACTTAGGAGTTTGTCATCTGTATTGTGTGCTCTGTACTTGGCACAGTTCCCAGGACCCAAAAGACTTCCTTGTAGAAGAGAAACATAGGAAGGGAGTTCCCGGAGGTGCAGTTATCATCCTGGGTTTGGTGGTAGGTGGTCTGAAGGTACTTGTCCACTCTTAACATTCACTGACTGTTAGCATCCCAGAAGATCCCTAATGACACCAGCATCTCTGAGATACTTTTGTGCAGTCTTTCCAAAGTCATTGTCCTTTCTCACCTCACACCACAGTTGTAACAGAATATGACTGTCTTCTGACCAGCAAGCATCATGGTTGATGTAGGTCTTCTTAATGTTGGACATCGTTAACTAAGGATGTTAAAATTAGATTAATCGACTAATCGAATAGTTGATGGCTTTAACATCGACTATTCAATTCGCTGATAAGGGCGCTTCCACTTTGAAATATAACAAGAGTCCACCCAGCTGTTGCCATATTTCAAAGGCAGAAGTGCCATGCGGAGTTCAACCTTTGAAATATACAAGAACCCCATGAAACATCACATGGAGCCTGGGACCAACGGAGAACTCAGAGTCCCCCACTGGCCCCAGGCTCCATGCGACGCTTCTGCTTTGAAATGTACAAAAGCCCCAGTGGGGATGCTGCCGCTGTGCCCCTGCCTCCTCCCACAGAGCTAGAGTTTGGGGGACCGAGCTTTTAAGCCAGCTCCCCTCAGCACCTACGTCTCTTTTCCCCCCACCTTGCTGCCTCTTTCTGATAGAGGCAGTAAGGAGAGGGAAAGTGACTAGTCGACTAGCATGTTGACTATGTGATAAGCTTTTGCTTATCGAATAGTTGACTAGTTGCTTACATCCCTATTGTTAACATGCATTGTGGTTAATTGTGTTTACAGTTGAGCAGTCCACTTGGATACGAATGGTTAAATGCCAAGCATTTGTATTTGAATCAGGAAGCTGCTTTCTGTTTCTGGGAATTGAGGGGGGAAGTTTGGGGATAGAAGGGACAGGACACAGGCTAAGGAGACTGGAGAGTCTGCCAATGCTATTCTCAAACATGAACCTCCAAACCTGGGTTTCAGCTGCATCCAGGCTGCAAAATGAAAGGGCTTGGACCCACGCCACAGAAGGACATGGGCTTTGGTCATACCCCCGAGCTATTCTGCAGACCCACCACCTGAGACGTTCCTAGTGCAGCAGAAAGCTTTGTGTGTTGATAGTGAGGGGAGAAGGGAAGTTGAGGGACTGGGATGGTTTACTATGGAGAACAGATATATCCTTGGAGGTGTTCCCACAATAGCAACCATAATACCTTCCTGTACTTAGCATATAAGGTACCATCTTATAATGGTGGAGTGGCAAACAGAGGTTTTTAAGAGATACCAACAATGTGCATCAATATTAATATCCCATGTTTTGCAATGTTTGTTATCAGTGGATAGGAACAGAGGTGCAATGAGGCTCATAAGGATTTCCATATCACATTTGTAGATATGGATCTATCCGTGTTTTCGGGAATGTTTTTCTGACTAGCTATAATAGAGAAGCTGCTGATTAGATAAGATTAAAATATACATTTTTATCGGTTAATATGGCTCTCATGTATGCTCCAAGTGAGAACAAACAAGTGACTCCATATGCTCAAAATATTATATATATTCAGTCCATCCACTAATTACAACAGTCTACATGGAATATATTCTATTACATATGGGAAGAAACTTTAAAGTATTTGAAGTTGCCTCATTCCACTGGAAAATTAAGTTTTTAAAACAGATCCAAGGAGAGAGCAAGAGAGAGAGAGAGATTAATTGCAGAAAATGGCATAGGAAATTAAATCAATTAAGAAAGCGGAGTTACGTCCTGCAATTTATTATCAGGGACACATTGGCCCATGTCCTCAGCTTCATGTTGTTTTATCTGCATCACTCCTGTGGCACAAAGCAGCCTTAAAGGCACCTTAAACATTCCTTCAAGGAATTCCCCAGTACTATGGGGGATTGCCAGACCTGCGGTAGGGATGTAAGAGAGTGGTCGATTAACCAATTAACTAATAAGCAAAAGCTTATCGGTTAATGCTCTAGACTACTCCAGGACTGGACAAAATACAACCTGGGGGCACAGCTGCCCCAGTTTATGTGCAGGAGACATGGTTGGGGAAAAAGGTGTCTGGCAATGGCACATCTGTATCCCACTCATCTCTGGCTCCTAAAGCAGCCCTTGAGGGTTACCACCAGCCAGCATAGAAAAAGAAACCCCGAAGAGGCTTTAATCTACCCTGGGGAAAAGGCCAGTGCAGAACTAGCCCCAGAATTTGGGAGTTGCAAAGGTGACAAACTCACCTGTGCCCAGTACAACTTTTCTGGGCTGGAGGCTATGGCTAATGGATATGTTGGGCAGCCTTTTTTTCCCCCTCAAGTAAGACTGCGTGAAATATAATTTATGGAACTACATACAGTGGCCACATTCTTAGCTTCTGTAAATGAAGCAACTTCAGTGACGTCAAAATCTGGCCTACCTTAAGAAAAAAAAAAAACTCCTAACATCCGATGAAACTTTAAATCCAGTAAGATTTCCTTGTACACAACATCAGCAATTAAGATGCATTTACAAAGTAAACTAAATTCATAGTACACTGTGTTGCAGGACTTTCTCTGTTAACCTTATTTCCAACAGCGATGTTAACATTAGCGCTGCCTTCTTAACAACTGCAGGAT